TAGTAATAATAGTAATAATAGTAATAATAGTAATAATAGTAATAATAGTAATAATAGTAATAATAGTAATAATAGTAATAATAGTAATAATAGTAATAATAGTAATAATAGTAATAATAGTAATAATAATAATAATAATAATAATAATAATAATAATAATCATAATAATCATAATAATCATAATAATCATAATAATAATAATAATAATAATAATAATAATAATAATAATAATAATAATAATAATAATAATATAATAATAATAATAATAATAATAATAATAATAATAATAATAATAATTGTTTTAAAAAATAAAAAATAAAAAAATAATTAAGTCAATCATATTAACTACTTGGGGGATTTATTGACAACAAGAGTATTCAAATCACACAACAAATTGAAGTGGAAAACTATCTCGCAATGTCCTTGTTTGGCAATCATCAATTAAATTAGCTCTTCAATATTAGTGTATATTTAATATTTTATGCCCTAATTTTTATTTGCTCTCCCTTATGTCCCGTATTTGGTTTCAACCATACCTATACAATTATTTTATTGACAATTATAATCAATCTTGACTATATTATCTTGCATTTGTAACCTTAAAATTACCTATTTAAATACGCAAATTTAACATTCAATTATCTATGCATGAACAATTCCAATATAATTTTGTCTTGATATACTTTAAAGTACTTATTTAAAAAAAAAACATTGGGCATTATCCCAATCGCGCAATGCGCGTAAAAAACTAGTATATATATATATATATATATATATATATATATATATATATATATATATATATATATATATATATATATATATATATATAGAGCGAGAGAGAGTAAATTACACTTTTGGTCCTGCAACTATTGGATTTTTGTTAATTTCAGTACGTGACTTTAAAAACTAACAATTTAGTCCCATAACTATGCAATTTTTTAACACATTTGGTCCTCCCGGCCAAATCGCCGGTGAAATATTGCCGGAAAGACGTAAATGATTTTAAATTGTTTATTTATAGGGGCAAAATGGTCAATAATTTAAGTTAATTCATCGCCCATGCGACTAAGCTAAGCTGAAGTCAGCAACTCTGACCTCGTCACTCACTAGTTAGTCGGCCAGAGTCCGCCGGACTAACCCATCGCCACCGCACACCGGCGACATATCATACCATTGAATAGGCAAGCAAGGGCGTAAGGCAACAGTGCTGTACGCCGTTCTCTTACGATTCTGTTGTCAATTTCACAGCCTAAAATAATGGCCTATGTAGTATTCCGTTGGCGGCGGACGACATTTATTTCTCCTAGGAATTTGGATCTCTGTACACGAAGAACAACGCCGAATTTTCCATTTCCGTCGGCTTTTTCCGAAATAGTGGTTAGATTTAGGGGTTTATCATGGTTTCAAGCAATGATGTCCCGCAACCCCACATGCTTTGTTTAGATTCAGGGAGCACCAATATTTGGATATAATTCGTTGCCGTCAAGAGACCGTTGTCGAGAAGCTTGGAAACAGGGGATGATGAACTCAGTAGCTCATGGAATTGTAACCAATTTATTTGATTGATTCATTATGTATTAGAGCATTGACAAACTTGGAAAGGTCGGCGATACTATGAAGGTTGCACTGGGGTTCTTTCGGAACTATATGATGCCAAAGTTGCTTGCTTAAATTTACTGTTTTGCCCTCAAGAATAAACATTTTAAAAACATTTATATTTTTGGGCAACATTTCACTGGTGATTTGGCCGGGAAGACCAAATGTGTTAAAAATTGCATAGTTATGTGACTAAATTGTTAGTTTTTAAAGTCACGTACTTAAATTAACAAGACCCCAATAATCATATGACCAAAAGTGTAATTTCCTATATATATATATATATATATATATATATATATATATATATATATATATATATATATATATATATATATTAATTTTGTTTTTTTTTTCTCTCCCCTCCCAAGTTCTTTTTCCTAATCACTCTTACAATAACACCTTAATATCTCCAACTAATATTGATGCTCTAAGGGAAGTGCTTAACCAGTTAACCCTAGCAGTCCCATCCTCTCTCATTCTCCTAATCTCCCAGCCGTGACTCGTGAGCCGACCCTCCTCTACCAGTCTGCCCTCGCCAACGACGCCGTCTGCACTCCCTCCGGCTTCACACCCTCACCGTCCGCACTCCACCGTTTGCTGCTCGTCGCTCGTCTTCTCGTCGCTGACTCGCTGGTCGTCTGCTTCTTTGTCTCTGGTCATCGTTGGTCCACAGTTCACAGTCCTACACTCCTACTTAGTTGAGTCATCGTTGATTCGCTGGTCATCTCTGCCTCTGGTAAACTGTCCTATTTTTAGTTGTTTATTTAAAGTTTAAATTGCCCTGTTTTTTCCCACTTTTAAAACTTAAAACTTAAAACTATCCAAGTTTAAATATGATTTTACAGAAACTAGTACTTAATATGACTTTTTTTTGAAGACAGTACTTAATATTTACTTGCTGGATATTATTTACAGAACTGAATAATTACTCGCTGATTTATTTTTAATAATTTTTAAAGAGGCAAACTGTGTCGTTTTGGACCTAGGTCCACCTTGCAAGGTGGACCCGGGTCCATGGCATAACAATTGGTATTGACAGGACTAATACGAACTTGTAAAGTAGGCAAGGCTTGCATGTTTTTTATGTTCCCCGAGTGTATTCGCTGGTACGAATGATGCGGTGACAGTATAAAATAAAATAAAAATAAATAAAAAACGTTGCCTTTATTGTGAGCGGGAGTCGAAGGGCTCGATCAAAAATTACTAAACAATAACACTTTATAAATTCCAGCTCCCCGCGATTCACCCTTTTCTCGGAAGAACAGCGTTGCAAATTTTAAGGGAGCCCAGCAGTCCATCATTCTGAGGTTGAATACTCAGCCAAACAGGTGATCAATCGTCGTTTTCTCTCTGTTATTTAAGATTATTTTCAGTACTTCATCATCGTCTATTTATCTATCTATTATTCAACATTCTCATTACAACACACGAATGCTGAAACAAACAGGGGATTGATATATTCTTTTCAGTTTGTTTGTTTTAGTTTTTAGTTTTTAAAGTCATATATCTGAAACCGTGGATGCATATTGTGTGTATTCAATTTGTACACTGTGGGCTTAGGTTCAAGTATCTGCGTGTGCTCTGCTTGATGAATATGTAGTTCTTATCTATGCACATTTAGCTCAAATATGATGAACAGGATGATTGACAACATTATAGGTGTTATTATTTGTGAGTGCTGGCTGATATACCCATGCTGAAGCCCTTTTCCCCTCTTCAATGGTTCAATCATACAATGGACCTGGGTAGGGCTCAAGGTGTTGTCTTTAAGTATTATTTTCTTCAAGTAATAGGAATACTTGGGTTCGAATCTTATCTCTTCCGTCCCCGTCCCCTATCACATTTACCATAATAAAAGATACATATGCCCTAGGTCAGAGTGGTTCACATTTAGGGTTTGTTTGGTTCACACATGGGAATCAGAATAAGAATGGGAATCAAATACTTAGTAATGGTATGAGTTTTGGTGAAAGTATTTTGCATGTTTGGTAGTAGGGTGTAATTGGAGTGATTACCAAGCCAATAGTAATGTTTGGTTATGTATGACCCTATAATGAGAATAAAGGTTTGCACCAATATGAACAAAAAAAAAATCAAAACAAAAATCTAAAAGCACTAATCCAAACTTAAAGATTATATTACTAATAAGATGGAATGATACCTTTTTTTATTTAGGGAATGGGGTTTTTAATTGAAGGGATAATTAAATCCCATAGTTGTGTTTTAAAAAGTTGTCAACCAAACACTAACTATAATTTTGATTTCCATTCCCAGTGTGTAAACCCATGAACCAAACACGCCCTTAGTTTAATTGTATCTTACCCATCTTTATGGGTTTGAATATGTACCTAGTCTTGGTTGAAGTATGAAGTATGAACCCTCTCCATTATTGTTATTGGTGTTCTACTAGTAAACTAAAGATAATACAGTTATGTTGTTTGCTACTCTTAAAGAGGTATCTCATTTTCTGACATCCTAAGTTCAGCAAATAAGGAAATTAATTAATAAATTGATCAGTTTGTATTCTTGTATTTAATAATGTTTCTTATTACATCCTAAAACTACAATGTTACTGTATTGACCTCTAGCTACTTTGGAATTGAAGAAGTTACTTTTAATAAGATTGAAGAGAATAATATAGAGCTGATATAGCATTTGCCAAAACAGGGCTACCCAATCATGACTTGAGATAATGTATTGATCCTTTCAAGCACCAACCTACCATATACTGCTTCTGAAAACACTTGGGGCTTGGCAGCAGACACATCATACAACATATTTCATATCACTCTAGAGGCTTAGACCTCTGAGGATATATTTTTAGAGACGTTGTTTCCTTGGCACCTTGTATCGGCTAGAACTAGAGATCTCTCTAGGGAGATAGTTTTAAAGAAGTTACCTTGGTGTCTTTGTATGGCCGGGATGGAGCTATGCATGCATGCACAAAATATTGTTTTGACTGTTTATGTGATGGAACGTGAAATGTGTACAACTAGTGTTCTGTTTTTTGTTGTTACATTCAGGCCTTTTGTACTCCAAGCAAAGAAAACTTTTAGTTGTACAAGACTAAATCTGTAGTTAGTGTCTCTATGAGCGAGCAAGAGAAGTGTTGTGACTTTACAATCATTAAATTACCCCAACAAACAAGGACTTATTCCGCTTAAATAATTGTCCATATTCCAAGACTCTATGTTGTGTTCTAGAATGAGCATGTTTCATTTAGGGAACCATTGGTGGGAAGGAAAACAAGAACAGTAATATATTATTAAATTCTCATTTTTGTGATTGCGAGTCCAGAGATTGCTCAGAATTTTATTTGACAGTTTTAGTAAAGACTGCAAATTCTGATGTTGGAGACATCACAAAAGCATTTCTATTGATTGGAAGAAAATGATATTTTATTTTAAAATTACTGATTTTGATTTGTTTTCAGTAGGAAAAACTAGTTTTATATACATTTTACATTACTTAATAATTTCTTATGCACAAATCTATCGCTTGTTGATGTTGGTCTTTAGCATGCGTTCCATATGAATATAATATATAATGCAGGAAGGCAGGATCCTGCACTTGATTACATCTTCAAGTTCCTTCTATCTTTGTGTAAACCTATTTATTTTGGAACAGGCAGTAATTTAACTTTCTGCTCTAAGTGGATATATTTTTAATGTTATTAAATGTGCAAGAAGTACTTGGTTTATACTGTTCTGCATGTAACTTATATAATGATTTAGTTATATCTTCACACCTTGGATTCATCAGATACTGCTTAGCTTCTAATTGCAAAACTGTTGTGATAATGTATGACAGGGGACCTACTAGTAGCCTGGTAAAGTTAATCAAATGAGCAGGCCTCAGAAAAACAATACTCCGAAAACCCCCTTGGCCAAATCGGATTCAGATTCAGATTCAGATTGCGCAACACCCAAATTTAATGATGAGCCAATTGAGCCTCTTTCAGGAATGCCTTTTTATGATTTCGTTCTTTCAAAAGAGAAACGAATGGTAATTTCATTTTACTTTACGGTTTAGCAATTTGAGCATTTGCTTGCACCAGATGAATCTGACCATCCTAGCAGACTCCTTTCCTTTCCACAATAATAATAGTATCCATTTGAATTATTCGGCCTTCTTCACTTGTTTGAGTTAGTAAATTCAGGCAATCTTTCTTTAATGTGTTTAGATGTTTCCTGCTAAAATGAACTCCGTGCTCCCTAATGGAACAGTCCCAGCAGTGATCACATATGGCAAAAGAACATGGAGCACTACTCTACATGGAGAGAAGAAAAGAAAAGGGTTAGACTACAAAACTTGGAAAAAGTTTTTGAATCGGAATAAGCTCAGGTTTGGAGATGGGTTGATACTTGAGGTGATGCAGAGCAGCCAAGAGTTGGTCAAGTTTAAAGCGCAAATACTTAGAGCTGACTTTCCGGCTCAACTCGAGCCAAAGATCACCGGGGGCACACCACAAACGCCAATCCTCATTGATATTGATTAGTAATTTTAGGTACCACGTTAAATTGTTCTTTTGTTGTCTATACTAATCTTTTGGCCAATATGTTCTTCGTTCTTGTGCTCATATTGTGACTTTTTGTCATTCTGATCTTGGGGTCATCAAGTCTCAATGTTTTATGATGTAGAATGGAAATGGAATTGAGTTTTTCTTTCAGAAAAATGGAAAAACATAAGTTGATGATGGATGGATGATTCTATATTTCTACACATCAATCATATATCATGTCTATTTCTTTATATGTAAATTCAGCAGGAACATCTCCTGTGTCTGGGGAAAGGCTTGCAAGCCTCAATACTGAGATCAACAGCAGCAGAAAGCGCCATAAAAATGGCAGCGTCCTCGATGCAGGTCACAAAACGCTTGGCAACTTGCACAAAGGCGGGGGGCGTCCTGAACCTCCCCCCTTCCCCTTGCACTCTACAGCTCATCACAAATCCACCCGAACCAGAAGCAGAAACCGGGGCTGCTGCTTTGTCGATGTCTATGTAGAACGCCCCACCCCTATCGGCATTGATTAGTATCTCAGACACGAGAAGATCAGCCTCCCGAGACTCACGTACGAGGAGGTGGAAGCGAAAGCAAATAGAGCCTCCTCGTTCACGCCAGGCTTCGAGTTTTCCCCATGGCTGCCAGCTCTGACGCCTGCAACGGTCTGGGGATACAATCAACCATGTTCCCGGGTTGGATCTGCCCACCCGATCACAACCCGCTGAAGGCACAAATGGGGTACTTATCATGGCTGCAGCTACAGCCGAGCCAGAAAGGTCATGTATCGTCACTTTCCATCCTTTCCTCTCTCTTCTTTCGGTTTCTACATCACTCCTACAAACACAAACAATTCGCAATGTAACAGATACATACATACATACATACATACAGACATAAAACATTACCTACCGTCCTCGAGTAAACTCGCAACTGAAGATAGGCTGCTTGATGCTGCCCTGAATCTGAACTATTTGGGGACTTAATTTAACCTTATCCTCAAACTGGAACACATATCTCGGGTCAGGCTCGAGCTTCACTCTCAGGTGAAGCTCTGCTCCAGCTCCAGCTCCGGCTCCTCCATTGTTCTTGCCAATCCCTATCCACCCATTAACCAGTACAACTTGCTTTCCTCGACCCCATTCCCGACCAACTCCAAGCTTAAACGTACCGATATGCTGCTTCCTCTTAAAACCAAACCACCCTCCTGTACTAAACACAACTATCTCCAAACAAGCATGATTAGGTGCATAAAAACACCCTCCTCCGGGTGCCAATAACGCTTCCACATCAGACCTCACCAGATAAAACCTGGTGGCTATCTTGTTATTATCTTCAAAGGGAACGGGTGCTGTCTGGACAGGAAAACCCGGAAGACGAATCTCACACACACAAGGGGGGGAGGGCGCCTGGATCCCTGACTCGCTAGGAACTCTCAAACACAGTGATCCTACTGATACTCTCACGAAAGCCTGAGGGTCCATTAATTTTATTCGATTTGGGATGCTCATAAGATCATTCGCAACGTTTTATATATAGTAACGTAACCAATAGATCACAGTAATCTGCATTATATGAATCATCAAGTTCAACACTACTGCTTCCCAGTACGTTTTTGATCCGTTAAAGTATGCAAAAGTTGTTAAACAAAGTGAAAAAGCTGGCTGCATATTAGCTAGATCATGGCCAGCCTCATGCTAAATTACAAACCCGTCACGAGAATGTTGAAAATAATTAAGATGATTACGTTTTCCGGTTCCTTAAAGTATGCAAAATCATTAAACCATCCGAGTCAGAAAAGTTATATGTATCATTGCCAGCCTCATGAATATACACAGCCATCTCGATTCACGAGAATGATGAAGGACCGTAGTGTTTAAATTTGCTGCAAATTAATATAATCCAAGCCCAAGATGAATTTGCACAAAAGTAAGACTTCAATGTGGATTAAATGAGCTCTTTTTCCGGAATATTAATAGAAGATTTCTTTAATTTAAGCCCCATATATATTGTCTAGGTGCTCGGGGAGATTTAGACAATCCAATACAATGTGCAATAGATAATAAATTTAGTATGAAAGATCAATGACACAGCAAGCCAGCTAGCCAGTAAACTCAGTGGTGTCATATTACATTAATGTAATATTTCATTTTCATTCATAATTCATAATTCTATTATGAAATTCAAGATTTTATAAAATACTAGGCCCTGTTTGGTAAATGGCTGTTAGCTAATTGTTTTTTTTTTTTTTTTTTTTTGATAAAGCTGATTGGGTTAATTAGAGGGTATAACTAGTTGATAAAATTAGCTGATTGTAGAAAAATGTTTGGTAAATTAGCTATTAGCTGATAACTGTTTGATATAGGCCCTGTTTGGTAAAATGGCTGTTAGCTGATTGTGTTAATTAGAGAGTATAAATAGTTGATAACATTAGTTGATTGTAGAAAAGTGTTTTGGTAAATTAGCTGTTAGCTAATAGCCAGACGTTATGCCATGGAACCGTGTTCACCATTCATGGTGAACACGGTTCCAACGGTGTTAGTACATCGTTATCTTTTTTTTTTTTTTTTTTTTTAATTAATTGCGTGACTTTTCTTCTTTATTTTCACATTTTGCGGTTTCACTTTAATTTGAGGTGAACAAAGATTTCGGACATTCATAAATTATGAATTCATGCCTGCACATTCACTTTGGAACCATGCCTACACATTCCCGTCCGAAATCACGGACATTCATAAATTATGAATCCATGCCTGCACATTCACTTTGGAACCATGCCTACACATTCACTTTGGAACCATGAGATTATGAATTTTCTGTTATAAGATTATGAATTTTCTGTTATGAGATTATGAATTTTCAGTTATGAGATTTGAATTTTCTGTTATGAGATTATGAATTTTCATTACATTCATAATTTCGGACATTCATAAATTATGAATTCATGCCTGCACATTCACTTTGGAACCATGCCTACATATTCCCGTCCGAAATCACGGACATTCATAAATTATGAATTCATGCCTGCACATTCACTTTGGAACCATGCCTACACATTCACTTTGGAACCATAAGATTATGAATTTTCTGTTATAAGATTATGAATTTTCTGTTATGAGATTATGAATTTTCAGTTGTGAGATTATGAATTTTCTGTTATGCGATTATGAATTTTCTGTTATGAGATTATGAATTTTCATAAAATTCATAATCTCATAACAGAAAATTAATAATTTGATCAAACGCGCGCCGTTAACTCCACATCCGCGAATTTTTTTTTTTTTTTGCCTAAAAACGGCGTCGTTTTGCCTTGTGTTCACCATTCTCGGTGAACACGATTCCATGGCATAATTTAGGAGCTAATAGCTGTTTGGTATAATTTCTTTTCTCAAAAAGCTAATTGAAAAAGTTGCTAGGAGTAGCTTTTTTAATTTTAGCCTTTTGGAGTTGCAAAAAGCTAATTAACCAAACATTTATATTGATATTTTAACTAAATCAAACAATTAATAGTGGTCAAATAAGCCAAAATTGGCCTATAGGCCAATTTTTTTTACCAAACAGGGCCATAATTTTTTTTCTCAAAAAGCTAACTGAAAAAGTTGTTTTGAGTAGCTTTTTGAATTTTAGCATTTTGAAATACAAAAAGCTAATTAGTCAAGCACTTATATTGATTTTTAAACCAAGTCAAACAACTAATAGTGATCAAATAAACTAAAATTAACCTATAGACTAACTATTTTACTAAACAGGTCTATATAAATAAATATCATAATTTCAAAATAAAAAAGTGATGCATGTCCAACTAATTATACAAACTGGCGAAAATTTTCAAATTAGAAATCCGCAGCGACAATCCACATTTTGAATCTAATCCCCTTTTAAATGAATTTACAAAATTCACAACACAATCAATGCACTTGGCATTCACACCTCCCTAAAAAATGGATTCATGAATATAATCCCCTTTGACATCTGTTTTATCAAGAAAGAAATTTTTATTTTATTTTTTAAAGTTGTTTTTCAACGGCTATTCATTTTTGTTTTGTTTTGTTATTATTTTTTAGTTTTTTTTTCTTTTTTATTTGTTATTCTATATTTAGAATTTTATATTTGAATTAAATTTAAAACTTTTTAATTGTATTAAATGTTGGTATATATGATATATATTTAAAATTTTGTATTCAATTTCGAATGTTAATTTGCTCCGTAGACGATTTTGAAGGCGAATATTAATTATATTTTGATTAGTTTATGAAATTATATTTATAATTCAAAATTTTTTTTTTCAATTTTTTAAATTTAAAATCGAAATTGTAATTATAAAATTGAAATTATTAATTATAAAAAAATGAATAAAATAATAGAAGATGTGTAAGAGTGTGAAGGAGTAGGACTCATAAAAAGGGGAGTAAAGGGGAGAAGAATTTGCAAACAAAATAAGAGAGGAGATTGTATGATGATTGATAAGGTAGGGACCCAAAGGGCTAGAGGCCCAAGAGAGTAGGATGGATCAAGGAATGGGCTTGCTGCAGTGGGCCCAAAGAATAAGGAAATTTGCCCTATGGGCCTTGAGAAGATCACGTGAAGAGCTTGGACGAGTATAGAGCCGAGTTCGGAGAGTTGACATCAATGAGAGTCAGCTCAGCAGGTGACCGTTGCCACTTCAATGCTCGCCATTAATATGGGTCAATCCGATCGTTGGAGGAGCCCAGTAACGGCGACCCAACGTCTTTGGGCCTTTATTTTCCATTATTATGCATTAAAGCTTGTATTTAGTTAATATAGACCGGTTACCTATAAATAGGTCTCCCTCAAAAATGTAAAAGACCAGTTTACTAAGTTGGGAAGACACCCGGAAACCATAACAGAAGTCACATACTTTTTAGCCATCTTTTTCTTTCAAAAGTCATTTTTCATCTTCTCTTCCGGTGAACCCACCAATCTAACGGATTGTGTTGGACCTCCGTGGGCTGCCAAAAGTCCTAAAACCAACACTGGTGTCGTCTGTGGGGACGTGACTAAAGGTTGCGTCTCGTACTTTACACGAGCAAGTCGGAAAAGTCAACCTGAAAGGATTCACGAAGAACAGTAGACCAAGAGGATGGCGAATTGAAGGAGGGCAGAGTCATGCTCGCAACACAGGAAGGGATCTGCGAGAACAGCTAAGCCAACACAGTTCGCGAGAACGAGAGAATGACTTGGCGCCCCGACCACCGCCAGCACCTATAGTTCCGCTTACACCCGCTCAAATCGACGCTAAAGCTCAAGCGGTGGAAGCGCGGACACAAAGGCAGAGGGCCCCATCGGCCTCGAAAAAATGTGCTTACCTGAATAATTCAGGGAAAAAAATGCGATATGTATATGATTTAGGGGGGAAAAATGTCATTTTTCCATAAATAAATATAAAATATAGATTAAGCTAATAATGGAATTAAGGAATTAACTAAAATAAGGAAATAATTACAATAAAGCTAACAATAGAAAATAAGAAATTAAAGAATTGAAAGTTGTTTATGGAAACATGTTTCAATTGCATCCTCCCTTAATCAGTTTACTGCCTGGAATCGTTTGTGGAAGTTGCCGGTTCCCCCGAAAGTGAAAAAAAATTTGTGGTCCGGTGAAGGAGATCCTCAAAACAAAACATGTATGGGTGGGGGGTGGCTGCGTTTTTTGCGATGCAAATTTTGAATCCATAGAACATATCTTTTTTGAGTGCCCTCTTGCATTTCATGTTTGGGATAGTGCTGATATTTTGCATGGCAGGACGTTGCATGGTTTCTTGGTTCGTGGCTTTTGCCCCTCCTGATTGTATCTCTCATTTATTCAGTTCTTAATGATATAGTTCCTTTTAGTTTTTTTAAAAATAAAAAATAAAAAAAATATGCGTTTTTTTTTAAAAAATATTTTCCACAAGAGTTTTAATATTCCATACGAGTCTGAGATGCATAAGGATTCTAAGAGTACCGAAATTGAAAAACTCTATCCCTAGTTTGAAGTTGCCCATTCCTAGATGAATTACAATTCCTATTTCTCATCAAAGAGGTTTTCTAACCTTATAAAACGGAACTCCCCAAAGTTTTTGAAAAGTATTGTATTCTTGCGTTTATTATTAACCGTTCTTTATTCTTTAGCATTTAGCAGGGCAGACGAGATTGACGATGTCTTCTCCAAAGAGCAAGAGCATTGTAAGGATGATTATGTTGAGGAGTTCCGACGGAGAGATGTTCGAAGTGGAGGAAACGGTCGCCCTTGAGATGCATACTATCAAGTGCATGATTGATGATGAATGCGTTGATAATACTATCCCCATCACCAACATTACTAGCAAGATTTTGGCTATGGTTATAGAGTATTGCAAATACCATGTTGAAGCCGCGGCAGAGGCCAAGACCAATCCCGAAGACGCACCCGCCAAGGATACCAAGGAATTCGACGCTAATTTCATTAAAGTTGATCACAATACACTGTTTGATCTCATCATGGCGGCTAATTTCCTCAACATTAAGAGCCTGCTTGATCTTACCACTCAAGCTGTTGCAGATATGATCAAGGACATGTCACCCGAGGAGGTCCGCAAAATTTTCAACATTCAGAATGACTTCACACCTGAGGAAGAAGAACAAATCCGTAAGGAGAATGCGTGGGCGTTTGAGTAAAATTTTGGAATTGTTAAATTCGTATCTATTTTGGTCTTAGATATTTCGTGTTCTAGGTTTAGCTTAGTACTCTATCTTATAGTCCAGCCGTTGGTCTTAGATATTTCGTGTTCTAGGTTTAGCTTAGTACTCTATCTTATAGTCCAGCCGATGAGGAAATTAATAAATTGATTAGGATTTTTATACTTTTTTTTTGAAACAGAGATTTTTATACTTAATGTTTCTTATTACTCCATCCTAAAACTACAACTTGTGTTTATACCACCATTGTTACTGTATTGACCTCTACCTACTTTGGACTTGCTTTTAATAAGATTGAAAAGAATAACATAAAGCTGAGTGTTGAAGACGCCTAGCGCCCAATTTATATTTTTTTTAATTTAATTTTTAGGGAGTTATTTGTCAAATTAAAATCAGAGTTCAACAGCCTAGATCGCCTCTTAACCCGCCTAACATAGCGAGGCACCCGATTTTGTTAGGGGGTTATTTGCCCACAAGAAAAAATCAGGGTAATCAGGGTTCGGCACTGACTAGGCGACTGGGTAATAAGGGTTCGGCCCTGACTAGGAGGCCGATTTTGGCGTTCTGCTGCCTAGACTGCACCTCCCTAGGTGGCTGGCTGTAGGGTAGGCGGCATTTGGCAGAAGCTGACTAGACTGGACTGCACCTCCTTAGGTGGAGACTGGACTGCACCTCCCTAGGTGGCCGGCCGCAGAGGGAGGCCCTTGACGCAGCCAGCCGCCTAGCGCTCGATTTTTGCAACCCATCTGTATAGTACAGCATTTGCCAATCATGATCATGACATTCCTTCAATTCCGAACTGGAGAGCTGAGATTAGTTGCCAGTTGCCATGTAAAATGGAAATGGAAGTATATTTTCAGAAACATGAAACATAAGTTGAGATTCTATACATCATGTCTATTTGTGGAGTACAATAATAACAATAATGAGGAGAATATATGAGCTGCTGCTGTTTCCTTTGTCCATTGATGAACATTATAGAGGCATATCAGATGCATAATATAGTAGCATGTAATGTAAATATCACCAGGAATGGCGGCGACTACTTCTCCCGAGTCTTCTGCGGAAGGGCCTGCAAGCCTCGATACTGAGATCAACAGCAGCAGCCAGCGCCATAAAAATGGCAGCATCCTCGACACAGGTCACATAACGCTTGGCCAGTTGCACAAAAGGCGGCTTGCTGCACCTCCCGCCTTCCCCTTGCACTCTACAGCTCATTACAAATCCACCAGAAACGGGATTTAGTGCTGCAGCATAGTCGCCGCTGCTTCTTGGACTTGGCAGAGGGGGAGGAGTAGGAGGAGGATGTGCTGCTGCTCGAACCTGTTTGTCGGTGTCTATGTAGAACTCCCCACCCTTTTCGGCGCTGATTAGTATCTCAGACATGAGAAGATCATCCCTGTGCTCGTGAGAATCGCATAGGACGTGGAAGCGACAGCAAATGGAGTCTCTAATGCCTCGTTCACGCCAGGCTTCAAGTTTTCCCCATGGCTGCCAGCTCTCGGGCCTGCAACCGTCTGGGTGTACAATCAACCAAGTTCCTGGGTTGGATCTCGCCACCCAAGCACAACCAGTCGATGGCACAAATGGGGTCGTTATGAAGGCTGCAGCTACAGCCGAGCCAGAGAGGTCATGTATCGTCACTTTCCATCCTTTCCTCTCTCTCCTCTCTATTTCTAGGTCAGAGCTACCAACAGAACTTGACCAAAAGCTCTTCAATGGATCTACTTGAGGTATCCTGTAATCTCAAAATAATTTGCGACATTTACAATGGAACAGATAGGTTACCTTTATCCTTAAGGACTGAAAGGTAGCTCTAAAATGGTAAAAGAGTTAATACCATTTGAGGTCCTCCGAGTATAGTGGTTTTGCCACGTTTAGTCCCATCTGTGGTCCTTCGATTTTAAAATTTAACCATTCGTGGTCCAAGTTAACCACCCATGGTCCTTCAAGTTTCGAAATTTAACCAGTCGTGGTCCTCTTTAAGGACCATGGTTGGTTAAAATTTAATAGTTGAAGGACCATGGCTGGTTAACTTGGACCACGAATGGTTAAATTTGAAAGTTGAAGGACCACATATAGTCAATTTGAAAGTTTAGGATTAAACGTGGCAAAACCACTATACTCGGAGGATCTCAGATGGTATTAACCCAAATAGAAGTAAGCAAAGACCCTTCACAGGATCAGGACTAATAGCTAGAGGAATTATTGATTAGTGGAAACTGGAAAGCAACACTTCAAGCTTAACAAGTAGGGAACTAAATGGTTAAGCAAAACTAAAGAGAAGGTGAAAGATCAAATATTATCTTCCGTTCATACAAAATTCATGCTATAAATATCAATCAAAAAGCAATCAATCTTCACAAAGATTTTATACATTACCGTTCTTGACTAAACTTGCAACTGAAGATAGGCTGTTTGATGCTTCCCTGAAGCTGAACTATTTGGGGACTTAATTTAGTCTTATCCTCGAACTGGAAGACATATCTTGGATCCGGGTCGAGCTTCACTCTCAAGTGAAGCTCTGCTCCTGGTTTTCCGTTCTCCTGTTTGCTCTTGCCAATGCCTATCCAGCCATTAAATAGTATAACCGGCTTTCCATGACCCCACTCAGGACCGACTACCAACTTAAACGTTCCAATTTGCTGCCTCTTAACACCAACACCACAATGGGTACCCTTGTGCCCTGTAAATACAACTATCTCCAAACAAGCATGAGGCGTATAAAAACAGCCAGGTGTCAATAATGCTTTTACATCAGACTCCCCGAGATAAAAGGTGGAGGCAATGCTGTTAGTATCTGGGGTAGCTTCGGGAGATGATACAAAGGGAACCGATGTTGTCTGCACGGGAAAACCCGGAAGACGGATCTCACACACACAAGGGGGAGAGAGTGCATGGATCCCTGTTGGTTTTGTATCATTCAAGGACTTTATAGGAACTCTTAAACCCAGTGATCCTACTGATACCCTAATGAAAGCCTGAGGATCCATTCTGGTCACAAGTCCTCCATCAATTGCAAGTTTTGTGTTAACCACGAGAATAATCTGCTAAGTCAAAAAACCAAAATTAGAAAGTAATTTTGGTGAACATAATTACCTATTTGAAAGTAAGCTGCTATACACAACACTTTTGGCAAAGATCCATATTTAGCCCAATTCAAGATGATTTTAAGAATTGAAACAAGCATAAGTTCCACCATGCTTGTGAAGCTTATGAGCTTCCTAAACAGAAGTCATAAATTCCAAATTGCATTAGCTTAAACAAAGTAAGAAATCCTGATTCAAATCACCATTTCTCTTACCTTTAACAACAAAGTCATAAACACTAAATGGATCTTTAATTGTTGGAAAGCTTTTCTATTTCATTCTCCAAAATCATTTTCACTTTAAACAACGAAACACTGAATGAGTCAAGCGTCAATGTAATGTTCACACTTAGCATCCAACAACTTAAATTTAATATTCTAATAACAATTTATCCAGAAGTAGAATATAAGCAAAATCATAGCCACATAAAATACACAAAACAGGCATGGATAAGAGTGAAACACATGAAAAAATAAAGCAAAAAAGAAAACCCACCTTCACTTCACTATGAAGCTTTGTCTTTATTTAGAACAAAATTAAAACCAAAGCCACTTTTGGAGCTGAGACCATCCATTTTTCCTTTCCAAAAGCCTGTGACAATGAAAAATCGATAACCTTCTCATCCAAATTCTACCAGGAAAAGATCAAAACTTTTCAATTTTGTACGATCTAACCCAGAACCCCAAATATGTCTAGCTCTCTACAACAATCAGTGAACCAACCGACCAAAACACACACTCCAAGAATTGAACATCCACTGTGCACAGATCACGAAAAACTCCGCTCCTATATCTATATATACACGTAAAAATTACTCCGTATATATATCTGTGAGTGAGTGTGTAGCTTTTTATGCTGATCTGTGGGAGACAGATTGAGTATCCCTATCCAAAAAAGTCACAAAAGTAGAGAAGGGAGTGGACGCGGGGGTTTCATAATTTAGAACGAAATGAGCGGAGAAGGTAAAGAAATGCTTTAAAATTTAATGCTATCTGATAATCTGAGAGAGAAAGAGAGAGTGTGTGTATACAAACCCGTTTGGCTCGAGGCATTAAAAAGAAATTCGGTGTCACGAGAGGAATTATAAATTTAAGAAATATGTCATAATGTCGTCTATGTAACACCGAAATTGAAAACTACAGAATACAGAGGAGAAATAAAGTATAAAAAGGAGGTAAAATGACACTTTTTTTTCCTTGAGCTATATGTTTATAGCGTATTTTCTTTGTGAATTATTCATGTAAGCATATTAGTCTCCTTAATTATTCTAAAAGTGGCAGTTTTTTCGCTTGATACATTCAATTGACATCTTTACCGTTAAAATAAACATTTTATTTATTTTTCTTCTCCAATAAATTATTGCTTATACGTAAGGAAGACCACGGTTCGGCTCGAACTGAACCAGATACTATAGCAATTGAATTGAAAGTTTCCGGTTATGATTCAGAACCAGAACCCAATATTTGAATTTCAATTTATTAAAATTATGAATCGAAAAAATTGGATCCTGAACCGTGAACCGGTGATTTGAATTAGAACTACTAGCATTAGTTTAAAATTAGGGGGTATATTCAATCATGACTTTTATAGAGTTTTAAAGACTTTTATGAACTTTAAAAGTTTGGGGGTATTCAATTCAAACTTTTAGAGAGTCTTTAAAAGCCAGACGGTATTCAATCAAGATTTTTAAAGAGTCTTTAAAAGTCGTGTGGTATTCGATTAAGACTTTTAGAGAGTCTTTAAAAGTCATGTGGTATTCAAAAAGTTATGAACTTTTGAAGACTTTTTAATTTGAAGACTTTTGTAGACTTTTTCTTCTCAAATATAAATAGTTGAAATCCAACCATCAACCCTTTAGATTTCAATTTTTTTTTTTAACAACTTTGAATGTTTTCTCTCTCTATTTAAACTCTATTTTTTCTCCCAATTTAAACTTTATAAACCTATCTAAATTTAATAAAATTATTTTTTCTTCATTATCCTATATTTTATAACTCTACTAATTTTTCTCTCTCCTAAACTTTACAATCTTCCTCTAAAAATTAGAAATAATATTATTTTTACTTCATTATTGCTTGTTTATATTCATTTTTATTTTTTCTATGATTTTTTTTATCCCTAACTTTCTCTAATTCTCCCTAAATACATGAACAAAGCAAAATTTTTTATCAAATATGTTTCATAATATTCATATAAATACTTATATATTTTGATTTTTATTCTTTTTATGTTTATATTCGTAATATATATTTTTCATTTTTTTAACAACAAGTTAGTACGAATATCGAACTACTGTTCGCAACAACAATTTGGGGTTGCAAACAGTAACACCTTGTTGTTGTTCGCAGTCTCAAATTGCTATTGTAAATAATAATTCTTTGCGTGATGCCTAGCAATATATCAAGTATAATTTTTTATACTTGATATATCAAGTATATATTATAAATATTAGATTTAAATTTTTTTTTAAATTTTATGCAACTTGTAATTATATTTTTAAATATTTTATTTGTTCAATTTTTTATTATAAATTTTATTATTCAATATTGTTATGAATTTCTAATGAAATAATTTTTTTTTGATGTTTATTAATAATATATGTAAGTAATTAACATATAAGTCTCAACATACTATGGATAATAAAAATAATAATGTTGAGAATGTTGATGTGGGTGAACAACTACATAATAAGAAAATTTTATGATATATTATAAATATTTTGTAAGAAAATTATAAATGATAATAATCAAAATCATTGAAAGTTTGTAAGGATATTCAATTTAGAATTTCAATAACTTTTGTAGACTTTTTAAAATAAAAAGTTGATAAAAGTCTATGAATGTTTTTTATATAGACTTTTATAGAGTCTTATAAAGTTTTAAAAAGTTTTGAACGACTCTATGAAAGTCAATCAAAGTTTATTAAAATCTATCATTTTAAAAGTCTTTAAAACTCTACAAAAGTCATGATTGAATACACCCCCCTTGGAATTATAATATTTACAAATAGTGCATGTTCTTTTTTATATTTATTCTGATTCTCACATATAAGTATATATGACCGCGATTTGGTTTTGATTTTGAACCGCCGGTTCACGGTTCTGGATCCAGTTTGAATTGCGGGTTCAAATTTTATTTTAAAATTTTATTTTTTATTTTTAAAATAGTCTAAATTCAATAATAAATATATTTTAATTTTTTTTAGTTCAGAACATGAACCGTCCATTCCGGTTCGCGATTTTAATAAACTCTAAATATCGAGTTTTGATTCTAAATTGTAATCGAAATATTTCGATTTGGTTGCTATAGTGTCTGTTTTTTGTTTGAACCAAATCCTGGTAATTATTTGTTAAAGAAGAAAAATAAATGGAATATATATATTAAATAAGAATAATGTTTCAGGAAAAAATGTAAAATAATTTCATCTGTTCATTTAGATTGATCAATGACTAAAAAATAAAAAATAAAAAACAAAAAATATGGTTACATTTTTAAAATTAGGAATAACGATTCAATAGACACTCCAACTATATATCAAAATACAATCAGACCCTTGAACTAAAAAAATCTTCAATTTGACCCTTAAACTTGTTAAATTTGTTCAATTAACCTATTGACCTATAATAACATGTTACTTTGAGTCACCTGTCGCATAGGATGCCACATAAGAAACAACTTAGATTAATGTTTTTTAAAATCAAATTTTTATAAAATTAAAATAATAATTGTTGTGGGCTCGGGTCAAGAAAGAAAGATGGTTGGGCGATGGAAGCAAAGGAAGGAAGGTGGTAATGTAAAGTCTCGCCACTCAAGGATGGAGATAAGAGTTGACGTCACTTAGGAGATAAATTCCAAGATAAGTCAAAATACTCCTCAAGAACTCAAGGAAAAGAAATTGCCACAACAATATTCTTGAATTTACTACTATCAAAGTTGTCTTCCAAACAAAATAATAGCATGGCTATTTATACACTTTAGCCAACCCCTACATCAATGGCTTTTAAGTTCAAAATGAGCTATTTTAGTGCTATACTAGCTTAAAAGATGCAACTAGCCACAAGACTAGGATAACTAAGTCAAATAGGTTTTAAAAAAAAAAACTAAATTCTAATTGAATTTAAGATTTATAAGCCTAATATGGACTTTACAAATTAAATAGCATAGAAACGGTCTAAAATAGTCTTAAACTTTTATTTGCAAGAAAAAAAAAATACTCCAAGTGTCGATTTATAAGGTATGAACCTCCACTCGATCTTTATTCTTCAAATTATGCGTGAATCAGATTGACCACCTTCAATTCAACTCCATCTTCATATTCTTGATTAGCTTCACTTAGCCCTTTAATAAGGTCATTCAAAGCTTCATGAAATATCTTCACCCTTGCTCTCGTCATTGGACCTCCCAAAGTTTGCAAAGGATCTGTTTCTTTGTTATCATCCTCATATTTGTCCTCAACATCTCCCTCCCTCTTAGAAAGATTCGTCCACAAATCAGTTTCACCTGCATGACATGGAGATAAATTGGCAACATTAAAGGTAGAACTAATTCCGTGCTCACTTGGCAATTCTAATGTGTAAGCATTGTTATTGAGCCTAGTAAGCACACGAAATGGTCCATCGCCTCGGGGTTGCAACTTAGATTTCCTTCGGGAAGGAAACCGCTCTTTCTGCATATGGACCCATACGAAGTCCCCAGGATTGAAAATCACCTCTTTCCTGCCCTTGTTCACATATTTGGCCACCTGCTCATTTTTCTTAGCAATTTGTTTGCGCACTTTTTCATGCATTTTCTTTACCATGTCAGCTTTATTAGCTCCATATAAATTGCAGTACTCTTTCACCGGATATGGCATCAAATCAAGAGGAGTTAAGGGATTGAACCCATAAACCACCTCAAAAGGGGAAAAACCTGTAGTGTTGTGTGTGTGCTTGTTATAAGCAAATTCAGCAATAGGTAGCAATTCTTCCCAACTCTTCAAATTCTTGTCAATTAGAACTCGAAGCAAAGTACCTAAAATTTTATTGACAACTTCAGTTTGTCCGTTAGTTTGCGGGTGACATGTAGTAGAAAACAACAACTTAGTTCCAAGCTTACCCCAAAGAGTGTAGCTCAAAAATTGTATATCCCGATCAGAAACAATGGTTTTAGGCATCCCATGTAAATGGACAATCTCTTTAAAAAATATAGCGACACTACTAGCATCATCAGATTTATGGCAAGGAATGAAATGTGCCATCTTTGAAAACCTATCAACAACCACAAAAATTGAATCATGTCCTTTTTTTTTTTTTTTTTTTTTTGTTCTCGGCAGCCCTAAAACAAAGTCCATGGATAAATCAACCCAAGGATGTTCAGTCATAGGCAAAGGATGATATAACCATGCAGTTGACTTGTAGACTTGGCCCTTTTACAAATAATACATCTATCACACTTTTTATTTACATCTTTTCTCATTTTTGGCAAGAAGAAGTGTTCACGCAAAATATCCAAAGTCTTATGAATGCCATAATGGCCCATCAAACCTCCCATGTGGGCTTCCTTAATTAGGAGTTCTCGCATAGAACAACAAGGAGTACACAATCTATTTTCTTTAAACAAAAAACTGTCATGCACATAAAATTTCCCATGAGCTCCCTTTTGACATTCAATATATAATCCCTGAAAACTAAACTCAGTAGCATATAACTCCTTTAAATGCTCAAATCCTAAAAATCTAGCATGCATAGTTGTTGATTGCGGTAATTTGGACAAACAAATAATATCCGGAGTATTCGGGTTATCGAACCACAGGGAGATGGGGTACTAATCACTAGCTACTAAGTTACTCATATGAAACTAGTCCGAACGAAACTTTAAGATTGGGTAATTGCAGAAAATAACAAATAGAATAAAATAAATAACAAGGCTTTGTAAACAATAGAGCGAAACAGGATTCTTGGGATCACAATGTTTAATCACCTAGTGCCAATTATCGTTTGTAATATTTAGTTTGGAATTAAGATTTGTATGGGAATGCAAAGTGGAACAGAATTACACCCGTAATTTCTACC